GAGATGGAGTGTCCCCATCAAAGAACGGACCCCCAGTGCGGGTCAGAGGCGGGGTGTGAAGGGCTTTGAACGCCGCCTTTAGGGTTAGGGTTATGTGATCTGGAGACCATAGGGAGGGACCCCCTGGAGCATCTCGGCTGCTGAATAGAGGGGAGAGGGGACCCATGTTGGACAGAGGGGCCTGTGGGGAGGGTCCGGGCGCCAGTGCTGCTCTCGGGGCGACAGGGTCAGGCAGCAAGCACGAGGGACCAGGGTTGCACGTGGGAGGGGAGGAGGGGCGAATGACCAATGTTTGGAGGCCTACCTTGGGGAGGAGGGCACGGGTTAGCTGGGCTAGGCTTGGCCTAGCTCGGCACTGAAGGAGGGGTGGCTGGGACTGGTCCCCGTGGTCCAGGACACCGTGCATGCTGGGGTTGGGGGGTTGGGAAGGAAGAGCCCCCTGGGCCAGAGAGTGAGGCTAGTGGTAGTGTAGATACACGTCCCTGTGTGTGTGTGCTTATTTTGGGGAGTACAGAGTTCCTAAGTGCAGAGAATAACACAATCGGTAGACAGCATTGTGGGGGTGGGGACAATGGGGCTAACACAGGGGGGCCTAGTGACCACCCTCTCTGACAATTAAGGAACATTAGTAGTTTTGTGGGACCCAGCAGCATCTTGGGGGTCTTTTTGGTTTGTTTGTTTGTTTTTGCTTTGGTTGATAAGGCATTTATAAGCACACTTATACAAAAAGAACCCTGGACAATTTATTTTGTATGGCTGCAATTTCACTATTTTATTTTATTATTATTATTTTTTATTAAGAAGTATTTATTAACCCCTGGTTACCTAGCGCCAGGTACTGTAATAGGCTCCAGAGATACAAAGACGGAAATAAAACAATCCCTTATCTATAGGAAGCTGACATTCTACTGGGGGGAGGAGGGGAGGGAAATACAATATATTCATATATAAGTAAACACAAATGATACAATTTCACTATTTTAAATTGAGGTATTTACACCAAGGGCATATACTTTTGTATGGGGAAAATGAATAACTAAATGTGATCCCCAAATTGTATATGAGTTGCAAGAAAGGAATTCATTAGAAAAATATGACTCACTCACCGAAATCCCATGGCTTGGAAAGTAATGATACTATTTAATATAAGGCATAATGCTCCATGACATTTAACAATAATTGTTTACTTGAGATCAAGTTATCTTTAGACAAAAATATATTTGACCAAATATAAATGGTACTTTATCTCAATTTATATCATGTTCTCTAAAATGTTGTCATGGTTCATTAAAGTACATTAGTCTTTGTTCTCTGGAGTCCCTTAGTTATTTAGTACTGGAATCTCATAGTTGTTTGTCTAGGGTTTCTGGTTCAAGAATCTTAAATGTGTTTTGTTAAAAAACCTCATGTTACTTTAAGTTAAACATGAGCACTATATAAAGGCAACTTTAGTCTATTTATACTATTGGAAGAGTAAAAGGGCACTGGGTTATTCCAGGTTCTAGTTAAATCCAAATCATTTATAACTAGTTATCATTTATTTTCAATTTATATTTCACCTATTTGCCAAAGGACAGTTTGAGTCCTCTTTCAAAATGAACCACATATTAAATAGGACAAGTAAGAATAAAAACAGAACAGAGCCCATTGCAAACGAGCAGAGGGAGTTGGTATCGTGCAAGGCCCCTGATGTGAGCTCATTATCTTCTCATGGTGTGGTAGAGAGAGTGCTGGAAGTCAAGGTTGAAATCAGGAACCCTCGGTTCCAGTTCTGGTCCCTTCCCTAATTGTATGAATCTTACAGGTGTTGTTAGCAGACCTGAGTTGGCAGACTTCCTGGTGCCTAGAAGGGTTTGGTGGGAACTAAGAAGTTTGCAAGGGTGGACGCTATACCTTTTGGGGATGATAACAAGTTAACTTGTGACTAACTCAGAGGAAGAGTTGACTCCGGAATGGAAAAATGTGGACTGAGCAATGACACAAAATGAAGCAGCAGTACAGAACAGTCAATTACAGAATTGAATCAATTGTTAAATGACACAGAATAACTTTAATTTTCTCAGTGGCCAAACAATTATCTAGGGCAAGGGTTCTTAACTTATTTTTGAATCATGGACTCCTTTGGCAGTCTGGGGAACTGTAGGACCCTGACTCAGAATGATGTTTTTAAATACATAAAATAAACAATATTGTCCGGGAAGCCAACTATATGGAAATACAGTTATACAAATATTTCTAAAAAAGTTCCTGGATGTCAGGTAAAGCTCCTCTGAGTTAGGGTGTCCAAATGAATGTCAGATAGTTCTGATGCCATCAATCTCCTTAGGAGTCTGAGAGAGGCATCCTTTCTTCTGTTCTATGCCTCAGCTTCTGTCATGTCTCATTCCCCTTTCTTCATGGTCAGACATTCTTCACAACCTAAAAAGCACAACTGCTTATTTTCTTGTGCAGTGGGGCAAGGAGGCTTTTAATATAACCCTAACGTAAGTTGATTCTTTTTTTTCCTTTGTCAAGTTCCTCTACTTTGTGTAATTCCAGATCAGAGACAGACAAGCATTTTCACAAAGAGCATGCATTCTCTCTATCATTACATCATGTCATTTGTAATTAAATTAAGCTGTATTGCTTTAAAAAGATAGAATACTTCCCAAACCCACCAATGGAGGGGAGTTTTGATACCCAATAAATTGTTATATGTTATTATTGTGGGTCTTACATCCCTCTTTAAAGTTCAGGGTCATTGATTAAGTAAATAAAATGTAAAACAAGTTAAAATCTAACATTGCATTTCTCAAGAAGTTCACTGAATCAAGGAGAAGTCTTTGTTTTTAATTCATGGGTTGTGTTACTTTAATAATACAGAACAATGGGAGAGACCATTATATTCCCTTGATAAGCTACCAGATTTTCAATTCATATTCTAGTGGCTCAGTTTGTGTGCTAATTTGTGTTCAGTACATTTTTTCTTATTACATTCCAGTGCATTCATTTCAAACTCTCAATAGTAGATACAATCCAATGACTAGGTATCTAGGTTTTTGTCTTCCATTCCTCTGAAAACCAGATCTATCATAGTTGCCATGAGTGGGGCTTGATGGAAGAGAGAGTTGGGGAGATTGAGAAGAAAAGGAAACACAACTCAGCATAACACAAGAGACCTGGCACAGAGAGGAAGACAGAGCTATTTGGGTTGGGCAGAGATTTCTCGGGGACAAATCAGCAAATTAATTAGGATCCAGATTGTGAGCAGCCTCTTCACAAATCCTTGTACAAGCATACCTTGGAGATATGTGGGTTCATTTCCAGACCATTGCAGTAAAGTGAATATCACAATAAAGCAAGTCACATGAATTATTTTGGTTTCCCAGTTCTCATAAAAGTTATGTTTATATTACACTATAATCTATTAAGTGTGCAATAGTACTATGTATAAACATTGTACATACCTTAATTAAAAATACTTTATTGCTAAAAAGTGCTAACCATCATCTGAGCCCTCAGTGAGTTGTAATCTTTTTGCTAGTGGAGAGGCTTGCCTTGATGTTGATGGCTGGACTGATCAGGGCGGTGATTACTGAAGGTTGGGGTGGCTACGGCAGCTTCTTAAAATAAGACAACAATGAAGTTTGCTGCACCAACAAGTGGTCATGGAGCAGTCAGAACACACACACACATCTATCACTTAAGGTTGCCATCTTATATGGGCATGGTTCATGGCACCCCAAAACAGTTATAATAGCACCATCAAAGATCACTGATCACAGATCATCTTAACAGATGTAATATAATGAAAAGGTTTGAAATACTGTGACGATTGCCAAGATGTGACACAGAGACACGATGCGAGCACGCGCTGTTGGGAAAATGGTACCAATCGACTTGCTCAATGCAGGGTTGCTGACAACTTTCAATTTGTAAACATTCAAGATCTTCAAAGCACAAGAAAGCAAAGTGCAATAAAATGAGGTCAATCCCGGTTATGCTGTCTGTCAGTGGGGTCAAACTCAAACTGAAGCCAGACTGCAGATTGACTTAGCAAACTCCAAATCAACATGATCTTGCTTGTATTGTATTGTCTTATTTTGTTAAACATTTCCAAGCTACATCATAGTCGGGCTGGGCTGGGCATTGGGTGCCTCTGTTCTAAGGGACCAATAGGGGGCTTCTCCATCAATATGGAAATTACTCTTCAAGTCATAATCTTGATGCAGATTTTAAATTCATCTGATTTTAAAATCTCAAACTTTCCAAATGTATTGGAGAGGCTCAAAGATTTGGGAGTGGTTCCCACTTCCTTCTCAGCGGACAGTTAATCTAGCATTAGGGTTATACCAGGAGGCCACATTCTCAAAGTTGAATGTGATTCTCTCCAGAGCTTGGGGGTTTTTGCCTTCTGGAGTTGGATCCTACACATGGAGGGCACCAAGATTCTCAATTCTCCCCTCCCCTTGTTTTGAAGGAGCATTAAGACTGCATGCACTCTGGTTTCAAAATTATAGAGTATCTTTTTTTCCATTCATAGCATTTAAATCTTTCTTTTTTAAATTAATTTATTTTGAATTATCAACAATCACTTCCATAAGCTTTTGAGTTTTAAATTTTTCTCCCCCTCCCTCCCCAAGATGGTGCACACTCTGATATAGGCTATACATCTACATTCCTATTAAACCTATTTTCACATTAGTGATGTTGTAAGTAAGAAGTAGAACCAATAGGAGGAACCACCAGAAAGGAAACAAAACACAACAGAAGAAAAAAATAGCAAATAGTATGCTTCGATCTGCATTCAAACTTCATAGTTCTTTCTCTGGAGGTAGACAGCATTTTCCATCCTCAGTCTTTTGGAGATGTCTTAGATCCTGGTATTGCTGGGAAGGGTTAAGTCTATCAATATTAGTCATTGCATAACCTGGCTGTTACTGTGTACAACATTCTCCTGGTTCTGCTCACTTCACTCAGCATCAGACCATACAAGTCTTTCCAGGTTTTTCTGAAGTCTGCCTGCTCATCATTTCTTATAGCACAATAGTATTCCATTACATTCATATACCACAACTTGCTCAGCTATTCCCCAACGGATGAACATCCTCTCATTTTCCAATTCTTTGCCACCACAGAAAGAACTGTTATTTATTAATATGAAAATCATAAATCCCTCAGTAAACACCTGGTGCTGGTCCAAGCAATACATGTTGCTGGAGGATAAGATCATACAGGGTGCAAAGGAGTGCTGTTATGCCAAGCTCAGGGCACAGCATGTTTGCTGGGTCTTAGCTCTGGGAAATAGGGTGTTTCTAAATACCTTGACAACATCTAGGGCCTTTCTGAATGCTCATTGAGTTGACCTAAGAACTGTTAACAGACAGGGGTTCAGAGGGATCTGAGAAGTCGTGTGTGACCTGAGGTAGGGGGACCAGAACAGCACCAGGAGCACAATTTCTGCTCTGATGATAGCACATTAAAAAACAATAGCTGGGGGAGCCTTCAGGGCTCTGCACCAGGTCTGTCCAGACAAGATTCAGGGTGAAGACTTTTCCTGGGGGGAACTTCAGTTGCTGCATGGGAGAGCTTGGCCACAACAAACAAAGAAGAGGGGGGAAAGTGAGTAAGTGAGTGAGTGTGTGTGTGTGTGTGTGTGTGTGTGTGTGTGTGTGTGTGTGTGTGTACGATACTAGGCAGCCATTAAGAAAGCAAAAATATGATCCCTTGGTAATAGAGACTAGTGAGTGAAGTGGTCACCCTTGTTAGACAGCTATAATGAGGGAGAACTTAAAAACAAACAGGGGAGGGCAGCATGGGGGGAAGCAGTGCTCAATATATCAAGGACCCAGTGAATCAGTTTAAAACATGGAAAAGAGCAGGGTAGTGTTGTTACCACTGCATTCAATTTCATGCCTATTTTTGTACAGAAATGATCCCTAAAGCAGGCATTGCCAGTTTCATAGACCATCCTCTATGTCTATGGAAATGACTGGATTGCTGATGTTGGCCAAGTCTGTGGATAGACTGCACTCACCTGGGCTGGGGCTTGGCTGCTCCCAGGAGCCATTCTCTCTCAGTCCAGGCTCCCTGTGTAGGTAGCAAAGTAACCAAAGTGACTCCATTTTGTAAAGTCCCTTCATCTTATCCCTGGACCTTATCTACCCCAGGCATCTGCTTCCACCACCCTTTATGGCCCCACCAATAGAGCAGCAGCCAACACTCTCACTAACCGATGTCCCAAGTAATCATGGGATGTTCTAATTCTATGCCTTTCTGATGACCATGAGACAGCCTGGAGCCACCTGGAAAGTCCTTTCCTTCTTTCCTTCTGCACAGAAAGCCCATCTGCCTCACCTGTAATCTTAATGCTGGGCTGACTGCCTTGGTGCTCATACTCTGGGCGTTTGCTGCTTGTTGGACCTGGTAATAAAACTTCCAACTTCCCTCCAGCTTTAGTGTCTGGATTTGACCCAATACCTTCTTGGGGTAGGTTTTGTTCCTCTGCAGACTGAGCTGGGGAGGGAGACGGATCCCAGAGCTCTTTCTCCTCTCTTCATAGGCAGGAGGCTGCCCAACTGGAATTTACAGAGGGCAAGGTCCCATAGGAGTTAGGAAGACCCAGGCCTTGCCCTCAGGGAAAGGACTCCAACCTGTAGAGGGAGGGAAGCAGCAGGGAGGGTCAGGGTAGGAAATGAAGCTGATCTCAAAAGGAAAACTACTTCCCTCCTCTTACTTCTCTTCTGCACCCCTCTTTTCCCCCATCCTCCTACAGAACCCTCAGAGGAAGATGAAGCTTGGGATCCCAGACAGGATGAGACCAGTCAGAGTCTCAATGACCCCTGAGACAGAGCTCTCCCTGGAACTGATCCTCTGCCCTCCCTGCATCCCCTCTCCTCAATTAACACACATTATTTAAACAATAGACTGACTGCTAGATCTAGCAGGGAGGGAGGTTAGGGAAGGCTGAGGAAGGGGAGGGCTCTGGAATGGAGCAGCCAAGGAAAGCCCAAGACTGGGAGACAAAACCCAGGCTGGGATCCAGCCGCCTGTGTGGGACCCGAGAGCTCTTAAAGATGTGGGGCTGGGGGAGCAGGAGGCCTGGGGCAGGGGAGCAGGGGTGGGATCTGGGAGGCAGGACAGTCTAACCCTGACCCTAAATGCCTCCGACTTTAACCCTAAATGCTCATGACAGGGAGGTCAGGGACACTTGATTGCAAGAAGTGTTCCAAATGGACATTAAGCTTGGGCAGGTAAGGATGACTGTGTCCTGAGGTCTAGCTAGGATCTGGGGAGGATGCCCAGGACCCTCTGGTACAGCTTAGACTTGGAATCCCTCCAAGGGAGCCAAATGGCTGGGACCTGATAGGGAACCAGCCCAAGAGGCACAGATTCAGATAAGGGGGATCAGGAAAGAGCTTTGGTTCCTGCCTCCAAGGTGGGGCTTGAGGCAGGAGGTAGGACTTGTGGATACTTACAGGGACTGGGAGTGAAGGCAGGATTCTTATGGGCAAAATCTGAAGTTTGGGAAAGTGTGACCCAATGAGAAATCTCGGGCAGGGGGGCGGGGCGGGGGGGAGGGGGAAGGTCAGCCAGGATGTTTAGGAAGTGATTGGGAGTCTGGAAAAGTTTTAGGGGCAGGGAGCTGGTCCGGTAGCCAGGCCTGGGAGGCATGCTTCTGGCAGACCTGGGGAATGAGACCCAATGGCAAGGACAGCAAACAAAGGTCAGGATGTAAGTGGGAACACTGGCTCAGACCTACCTGGGATCTGCATGCACAGAGTGGGCTTCTGGAAGGCAGAGCAGTCTCAGCTCAAAGACTTCCTGTTTCCCACCAGCCCACTCTGATCCTCCTAGTCCCAAGGACACCACCCGGTCCAACCCTTGAGGCCCCCAGGATGGCTGAGCCCTTTCCTCCAATCACACCCAGGGCCAAAACTCAAGGACCCTGACTGCCTCTCCTTCCCAAGCCCACCCCTCCATCACGTGGAAAGCCTTCTCCAATGCAATGATCCCCTCTTCCCCCTAAACTCCTCCCAGCCTCCAAACTCCACCCCAGTGCTCCAACTCCACCTGGGCCACCACCCACCAGGCTGGTCATCTCTGAGAGCTCCTCCCCCCCAGTGCCTCCCCCACCTCCCTCCCTCCCAGACTCACCCCCTCCTCCTTCTGAGCAGAAACACTGCCTTGATCCAACTGCAGCCCCAGACTAAGTGCAAGTGATGGACTCTACACTTTGAGGAGCTGGTAGCAAATGGCTCTCAGGAAAATTAGGATCTATATACCATTTGCAACTGTAAATCCAGATTGGATCCGACTGAGTTTCTCCCAGTGAGAAATCCAGTTCTCCCTTTGTAATTGTGATGTTTGACCCTCTGCAAAAATATCAGACCTTAAGGGTAAATACACTTAAAATTCAGCATTGAGGCAATGTGATGAGGAACTGTAAGAATAAGAATTGAAGGTAATTGGGTCAGAATTACTCAATTCTACTCTGAATGCAGTCTAGAGTGTCAAATTGAGAGATGAATGAAGTGAATTTTTTATGTAAGATAATTCACAAATGAACTGAATTGATGTCATTTAACAATTTTTCATGTTTTAAATCTATAACATTGTTTATGTTATTATGCTTCTGATTTTTCTCCTGTTGGAATGTTTGGGAAACCATTGCATAAAATGCTGTAATTTGAAAAATAATTTCTAGAGGGTGATACCATTGTATTCTTGGAAATTTATCTCCTTAGCAATTTGAAACTATGCCCAAAGGGCTATAAAATTGTTCATACCCCTTGATCCCGCAATACCACTACTAGGTCTGTATCCCAAAGAGATAATAAAAATGGAGAAAAGACCCACATGTACAAAAATAGTCATAACTGCTCTTCTTGTGGTGGTAAAGAATTGGAAATTTAGGGGATACCCATCAGTTGGGGAATGGCTGAACAAGTTGTGTGTTAGAAATACGCTTGACACCTAAAATTTAGTATCAAGAAAGTTTATTACAGAGAAAGTCCAGAGGATTAGACCTTTCTGGCCAGAAGCAGGCTCCACCCCTCTTAGGGAGGGATAGCCCTGAGCACAAGGGCAAGCATGCTTTTATACATTCAAATTTGGCATGAAACCTCCCAGGCCCGGATTGGTCCATTCCTTCCCGGGTTACACCCCTCCTTACATGTTTCCCCTTGATATGCTCAAGTATGTTCCCCCTCCCAAGGTCATACATCCCATGACTCGTTAATGAGGCTCTCATTTTATGCCGGGTGTGGCAGATAATAGTAATGAAGTTCATTAAGCAGGCGCACTAACATTTTTCAGGTGTCCTCAGGTTGACCCTAACTGGTCTGAGCTGGCTCGACCCTTATCTTGAATTTGGAGTCTTTTTAGAGCCATCAACTTACTTCTTATTGCTTAAGCCCTCACCCACCTACAGTGTACTGCGTCCTGGAATAGTTCTTTGAATCTCCGTGTTATTCTCCTTCTCTATGGAAATATGACTCTCACAATTCCCTCCTCTTTTTCTCAATAAGAATTATATTTCCACACTTTTTGTTCTTTCCTCAAAGCGTTTTAACATTAGTTCGAATTCTTCATCAGAGTGGGAGGAATGGTCATTAACTGGCTCAATCGTCATCCTAACTCCTGTTACCTGAATTCCCAGAACCGGTCCCACTGAGGTACTTTTCAATGGAATTTTGGGGACTTAATATGGGAGAAGGAAGGGAGGAGTTGACTGACTCATTGACAAAGTAAAAAGGGGCCAGTTCCCTTATTAAGTGCAGATACAGAGACCCAAAAGGAACCATAAATTGTCCATTTAAAGCTTCAGAAGTCTCTTCTCATACAGCTGACACTCTGGACATCATCTGGTGAAGTCTTCTTTTTTGTCTAAGTGCTGTTCAAACAGTGTCCAGCAGACTCTCCTCCTGCAGAGATCCTCCTTCTTGTGTCCACTCTCCTACAAGATTGATCTCAACACTATTTTAAATTACCTTGCTAATAACCAAGGCAAATAATGAAAATCAACTCAACCCCTATGTCTTCACCATTACAAGATCAAAATGGAAACTTTGTCCAATTGTCATGTTTCAAAAAACTCAAATTAAAAAAAATTAGAACCTAGCATTACACTCTGCATTACTTCGAGTTTTATACCTTGCATTAGTTGACTATTCATTCCTATTTATATTCCCCATCAGGAAGATGAGATTCCATTAAGGAATTAGTAACAGACTCCAATCCATAGTACTTAATTTAAAACCACTGCATATCAAATAACAAAACACTCCCAACTTCTAGTCATGTACAAATAAAAAATCCTTAATTAAAATAGATGCTTTTTTCAAGGCATTTACAAGATAAGCCATAAGTTATTCCTCTTTAACATTAATTGTAACAAACTGAGACAACTTTAACATTAACTAAGTAATAACTAAGTCACAGAATAATATCCTAGTTCCACAGTGTCCTGGTCTAATTATCCCCTAATGATAGGGGATGGGTCCAAGCCGACACCCTCACCCCTTTCCCCAGAAAGAATCTGGCTCCCACCTCCCATGGGCCCCAACTCCTCATCTTCCTTTGAAAGCCCTAGCCCCACCCCTGGTCACCCAAAGTTTCTTCAGTGTATGCAAGATCCACCCTGGCCCCAATTCAAATGCTGAGACTTTCTCATGCCTGCTTGTCCTTATGGGAGTCACCTGGCCTATATGGTTTATCTACAACAAACTTTCCCCCTGACTGAAAGACCTGGGCTGAACTCCTTCCGGAGGAACCCTTGTGCTGTGACCTTGGAGTTCCACTGCCTGCAAACCTCCAGACCTCATCATAACCATTATGAGAAATTAAAGGATCCTGACTTACACAGGAATATACTAGTAACAGATGTCAAGACTGAATACTACTCTGAAATTCCAGGCCAAATAACTCAAACTTATACCTGCATCTTACTATAATAACCTCAGATGTTCCCGCATCAACCTATTGTTTAATAGATTCGATATTTATGCTGACAAACTTATGATTAGAGGAATTTGCCATGCAAGAACATAACTAAAGTAAGGGAACAATGCTTCCCTAGAAGGGAAGTCCTAGTTCATGTCAACTCCAGGCAGAAGTTACATATATATGACCAACTGCATTGAGCCAGGTTTAAAGTCTGCCAGGTGTCATAGTGGGGAAATTGAGTCAGGAGAATCCTACCTCAACCAATGCAGAAAAGTCATTCTCCCGACCTTCCCATTGATGCGGTCTAGAGATTAGGGGTTCTGGCACCCCAAAATCACGATACCTGGGTCCTGCCCGAAAGAATTTGACCCAAGCCTTCTTGCAGCCAAAAACAAGGTTTATTGAAGATTCGCCATATTAGCCAGACTCTTAAGGAGTCTGAGCATCTATGGGCTATTGGCTTGATTGTGAAAATCTGAGCATCTAAATGGAGACAAAATGGACCTTATATGCAGAAAGACGGTGGGAGAGTGGCCAAGTAGTCCATGAGGTAATAGAATTCCCAAGGGTGGGAAATGGAGCCTAGGTGGGACCAAGGGTGGGAAGTGGTCTGGGGCCATAGGGAGGCACCAGTTGATGGGACTATAGCCTCAGGGGAACGCCAGAGATTTGGCCATGTGGGAAAGTCCAGGGTTTTTCCTTTCTGGGGCTCAGATTCCAACTGCATCACCATGAGGACACCTTCTTGCAGCTCATAGATGCAGCTCACAAACCTCTTTGCAGG